AACTATTCGTAACAATCCGTTAATTTATCTTCCTCCAAGTATAAGCTACAGCAGCCCCGCTGCAGTGCTTCACCATGATTTTCACATGGTATATTTTTTTTTTGCTCTTCATTCGCGAACTAGCGTTATAATGTGTGCATTCCCATTACACTGTTATCCCTTGAGCAAGCGGTAAGCTCAGCACACCACGTTGGCTTTCTTGGAGTTGTAATACGCAACCACTATTTATTATTGTCATCAGCTGTCGCTAATCAAAACTGTGGCTTAGTCGCACAAGGAGTTGTACTCTGATAAGCCGCAACTAAGTGTTTTTTTAGGTACTGCAGAATTCAACTCTGCACAATTCGTCCGCAGTACCGCTTATAGCGCCTTTAAAGTCGGAACCTAAGTTTGACAAAACGCAGTCAATAAACGGAAGTCGTATCTCAGTTTTGCCATTCTAGAGCACTTTGTAACAAAAATAAGATAAGGAATTCGAAGCAAAATGGAATAAACAAACAGATTTTGAAATGGGAAAGTTTGAAGTCGGTATCGAAGTCCATTAGCCATAATGCGTTGTGAAAGCGAAAAGCTAAGTTTTATGCACAATAACAAAACATTTCTGAAGTGCACGTCTCAGTAGTCCTCACCTGTATATGTCAAAGTGCAAATGGTGATTAAAAGCTCCGCTATAACAAAGTGCGATTATGAAGGGACAAAACATGACCTACTTTTCTCTGAAAAGCAAACATCGTTATTAGGATATAAATGGTGCCCAATCCATTCAACCCAAGTATTTCAAACAAACAAACCATGGTGCCGACAATGATCTAAGTTATTATTTACTTTTTTTGCTAAACACCTTTGCGGCATGCTCATCTCATAAATATGTTCAGTTCGTATCCGTCGTATTGTATCCGTTACGCCATTGCGTACCGCACTAACGGTCGCTTTGCTAGGCGGTAGCTTGCGTTGAGCACCTCTGTGCGATAAGTAGTCTCATCATTAATACTCTCTTGGGAAGTATTTGTCTCGCAAACGTACCGCTTGCGGTCGAAATCTCAATCCTCGCCAATATATTTACAGCTGACTGTGTCCTCAAATGAAAAGCTCCTACAGCCGGAATGTGGGCGTACCTGCTTTTGAGGCTGATGACGAAATACGTTTAAATGGAGCGTCTCCATACAGGTGCACCTTGCACGGAGACCTCTATCTATGATCTATATTTCCGGTAAGTGTCACATGTAATGCCTTTCACAGCTTACATGCTGCGGAAGTTGCAAAAGTGATATCACGTTCGCAGCTCGATTCTTATTAATCTTTACCCTGTCTGAATCTCACCTGTCATTTCAAAAGCGCAACGCAGCCAAAAAAATGGTTTGTAAAAGTCATCTTCATTTCTGAGCCTTCAGCACACCATGATTCAGCTAAGAAGAAAAATATGTTAGCAGATACCATATCTTGCTTCTGCTACATGATTGCTTCCGTTCTTTAAGGAACATATTTCGACAATTTTGAAGAAAAAAAACTGCGGCTTGTATATTCAAAAATTCTAACTATCTGATACTCAGATAGTCGGATTTCTCGTCAGCTCAGTGGTTCGTATCGACACAGCAGTCAGAATTACCGAAATATATCTCCTTTTGCTGCGATAATTCACTAGGCATGTAAGCTATTATGCCAACCCATGCTGTCATCGTGAAGTCAAGAGCGCATCATTTCATTACCCTCCAGGATATATGTGGCATGATGAACAGCTGAGAGTATTAATGCGCCTGTAGCTATGGCTTCTTCCACACATTTGCTTCTCTATTGTTCATCTGCGTCTCTCCTAAGCCAACAATTTAGATCCACACCCTGGCAATAGTTAAAATTTATTCAATCTATGATCATTCAAGGAGGGAGAATTCTCGTATCATAATTGATGAGAGTAAGTCCATAACACTTTAGTTTGTTGAAAATATCACAATGTGGAGCAAGTACAAGAGACAAGATGCAGGAAATTAAAACGCAGCGCTTGAACCTCTAGTGGCTGAACTTGACGTGGTACAGCGTGAGATTGTAAGCCGTAAGAGATGGTGAAATTGCTTGCTTTGACGATGTCGATATCAGAGAAAAAGAGAGTTGCGCTAAAACAGCCATTGGCGCGAGATGTTATGTATCAGATGTAAGTTACTCATATCAGCAACTACAAAAGACAAGTGAGAATTGGCATTTTATATCAATTTAGCAGTGAAGGCAACGAATTATGCGTTTTAGCTTTGCATTTTGACTGGTCAAAGGCTTCAGTTAACGTCTAGCAGGCTTATTTTCACTTTGGGCTATCGTCGCTGATGTTTGATAGCTTACACAGTGCAAACCACTCACCGCTTGGTGAAAGCATGAGGTATGATGGTCGTGTTGCAATCTGTAGGGACCATGCCACACAAAAAGTGCAGATGAATTGATCGAAGATACAAAATTTTGTGGCACAACCTGGTATTATAACGGTACTTATGAGATGTTGGTACTGAGCTGAGAGTTGTGTCAATTCACCATATTTTTTTTGTGACGCACTCCTTTCTTTGAAGGACAAGATATTTATTTTTTTTGTTGGAGAGGAATGGGGAAACTTGTGTGCGTCACCCTTACCCAGGTGACATAATTTAATTAATTATATGTTACAATTGTACATTTTCACATTTAACTTGGGTGTAATTGTTAGTGCTCTTAAGATCTGGAATAAGTGCCGCCATTAAATTAACATATCTTACACGATAAATATATAATTAAGACGTCAAATATCGTGAGCACATCAGCTGTACTGTTTTCAATTCAACACGTGGTAGATTTTTAAGCCTTAAAAACGCTTGTGGCGTTAATGTAAATCGGAACATACAGTGTTATTGTCCACGTGCAGCTTACAGTGTTATTTCTGGGACTTTAGCGGCACTCAAAAATAGCACTACTATGAATTTAACGGATGGTACAAGGTGCGGAGCAGCATCTATAATTTTTGTAATAATGAAATTTTAGCAACTCCAGAACAATGTTTAACGCCTTCTGTCTTATGATAACCAAAACGTTGTCCAGAAGGGCGCGATTTCTTGCGCCTTTTTGTCGCAAGAGAAGCAGCTCCGAGGACCCCTGCTTCTAGCTGACCATTTTTGTCTGGAAGAAACTAATTCTGATGCGATATTTCTTAGAGACACGTGTAACGGGGTTACACATACCCTGGTAACAGGAGTGTTGTCACACCAGATGGGCATGGTGTGACCGCACCCAATCCAGAATACGATACGGGGTTGGATAGCCAGTACTTAAACATATTTTTAGATTTTACTAAACATATTTAGGAAAATCTATGCTTTTAAATCTAGGCGGCTTTGCCGCAGATAAAAATGTATAAAGTCAGTTTTGAATTTAAATTAGAGTTAATTAGGCTTGGGTTAAGGTTGTAATTACTCTTGGAGTGAGCGGATTGCGATCCGCTAAACTCGTACTTGTTCTAAGTATAGAACGAAAGGTCGGTGACCTAATTTTCGCTTCCTTTAAGCGCAAAGCTACGGCAGCCCCGCTACAACACGGAGAAATGGCGTAAATGCGCCTTTAATTCACTCGACTTCGGAGACACTTTTCTATTCAAAGCTTTAACAAGGCAATAATTGAAATCCTATGTACTTAAGCCTAACACATTATGAATGATTGTACTAGAATTCGCACAACACCTGGTGTACTTGTAGATATTCAAAAGTACCGTGCAGTGGGGCTAGCGTAGCTTTTTAGCTTAGAGAAGGATAAGCTAAGGTCGGTGAATTTCGTTCTATACTTAGAACCAGTATGAGTGTAGCACATCGCAATCCACTTACTCCAAGAGCAGCCACAACTTTAGCCCAAGGCAAATGTACTCTTTCGTTCATAATGTAAACCGTGTTTCTTGGATTTATTTGCGGAAAGCCGCCTGTATCTGAAGCTATTGGTTCTCCTAATTTAATTATAAATCCAAATTAAACGCATAACTACTGGCACTCCAGCCACGTACTGACTTCTTGTTAAGGTGTAGCCCGACCATTGTGTGATTGCACCGTCTCGTGTGACCCACACCCTTGTATGATCACACCTTCATACCAGGGCACGCGTAACCCTGTTACACTCTCCCCCATCAAAATTGTGAACAACCGCAATTCACTTTTGCTGTCGCCTCGTACAAGGCTCGCGTGTCTACATCCTCGGGACCTTCTGCATGCATTATCTGCCCAATGAGCCCTTTATCTAAGGCATGAATGACTTTCAGCTTCGCTGGTTTCCAGAGTGCCCGCAGGCAGAGCCCTTCTTCGTCTCCTTCACGCGGTGTAACATCGGAAAGCACGTACGCGGCTTCAAGGGAAGCGCATTTCAGGCTCTCTAAAACCTACCAGAACGCACCGCAAACGCCACAGGCGACGGATTACCTCGTTGAGGATATGGGATAAGTCGACAACGAGTCGGATAGTCCTTTCCCAGGATGGGAAGAATGGAAGGGTGAGGTGCGCCAGCGGCGCAATTTGAGCCCTACTCAAACCTTGCGGACACCGTGTCCGATCTCGGTTGCTTTAAATGCGGGGAAAGTGGTATCACTACCAATGATCATTAGAAGTGATACGACTTTCTTCGACGAGGCATAGAAACAGTAGTTTGAAGCTGACCGCAAGGGCGGATATGCGCGCGCATCTACGGTCGGTCCTAGACCCTTGTGTGGAATACGGTTTCCACTCGGCAGATTTAGCTACTGATGCGAAGGATGTAGACAATCTTGTTTTGGGCGTCCACGTGGTTGGTCCTCCATCCAACACGCAAGTTTGACGAACGAAATGCTCTACGAGCTCGCTTGTTAATTCCACAAGAAATCCCGCTGGAAACGTACCGCGATCGGCTTAGCGCTCAAAGAGGAGACGCTGTTGTACCTGCGATGCAGACAACTCCTGTAGTTAGCGCACCTGGCAAAATCGCTACAGATATAGAAGAGCTCTTTGAGCGATGAATGCAGCGGATCAAGGATCATTTCTGGCTATCAGCTACAGTGGAGCCACAAGGTGGTGTACATGCGCGTAAGACGCCATCTTCATTTCAAGTTTGCCAAATTCAAAGCGCATCGCAACATTCTTCGTATTGTCGCCCTTCGACGTATGTATTAATCCATCACATTTCCGCGACCTTTGTGGTCTCTCACACGGGTGGGTCTGCGACTATTTCAGCTCAGGGCCATAGCTTCAGCACGTTTCATTAGCCTCTGGCTTCCCGGGCTATTGCTGAGAAGCGCGGTGCGCACGACGACGTGAAGCGTTTAGATCCTTCCAATCATAAGCACGTCGTCTGGGCAGTCGCGCCGAAGTAGCACCTCAAATTCCCACGACTTCGCTTAGTCGAGGAATACCCACCACTTCACAAGATAATAGGTTTGACCCTGGTGACGACGTCAATGTACAGATAGTGGACACCACCATTCTCACGAGAAGAGTCGGCGACGAACGATGACGACTTGTTCGACGCTGTCTGGTGTTCGCGATGCCTATAGAGCTACTAATGAGGACAAGGTCCGTCGCGGCCGGGACTCCGCTAAACATCATGCTGGGGTCACATACCGCAGTAAGTAAATCTAGAGAGCTTGGGGCACTATGTGCACCGACTGCCGCACGAAAACTAATGCGCTCTGTCGAAGTGGCTACTAGCGTGGAGCAGACGAATACGTCACCTAGTGTGGCTGTGGAGTGCCTGGCCCCGTCGGAAAAGAAAATCGTTGCTACCCACGCTCAAAACCAGTTGCTGAAGCAGCTTTAGGGTAGTAGAGAGCCTTTGGGCGCCGCTCCGGCGCTAACACATTCGCATTCACTTGCACGTAATCTCTGTACGGCTTGATCAAGCCCAAATTATACACCGGGTGTGTGCGCACCCGTTTCGGAAGGTATAGCGTATACGCAAGGTTCCGCTTGGCCACGACATTGGGGTTTGAAAACCGTGGACAGAGCTTCGTCTTAAGGACAGCAAAACTTTTATGTGGAGGAAGGATTTTCGCATTTAATAAAACCAGGTCTCTGACCACGGATTTTCCAACATTTCTTCTTTCCTTTCCCTCTTCATATAATTCCTGCGTTTCTTGACTTTCATCCATCGCATCGCGATCGTGTTGTAAGACAATCAGTCTGTTGGATAGCGATTCATCGAATTCCTTACGCACGGAGTGGGGATGACATCTGCTAGCCGTTCGGCTATTCCTCCCCCTACCAAGCCCTCGAACCATGAGATGGCAGTATCAGCGGGATGCGAGGATGAACGAGCAAGTTTACGTAAAACGACGATTAGCTGGTAGATATGCACTGCAATGTTCAGAGCAAACTCTACGAGTGGCAACATAGCGCTCCAGCGCTTTGGCGTCTCAGC